TTCGTGTGGGACGTGCTGTGCCTCTTGTCCGGGGCTTCAGAGGCCGAGGAGGGAAAACAAGTTAAAAGGAGAAGACGGGGACGCGTTGCAAAGCCGTTTGAAAAGGAAAATGAGGTGATACAGCTTGCAAACATCAAAAAGAAAAGGTCAAAAGCCGTTGTTTTGTGCTGCGGTCAGCTGTCTGTGCTTGCTAGATCATAGAACAGTCTGGGTTGGAAGGGGCCTTTACAGTGCGCTGAGCAGGGACATCGTCAGCTGGATCAGGTTGCTCAGAGCCGCGTCCAACCTGACCTGGGATGTTCCTGGGCAACCTGGGCCAGTGTCTCACCACCCTCATTGGGAAAAATTTCTTCCTTACATCTAGTCTAAATCTGCCCTCTTTCAGTTTAAAACCATCACCCCTTTTCCTATTGCAACAGGCCCTGCTGCAAAGCCTGTTCCCATCTTTCCTGTCAGCCCCCCCTCAGCCCTGGCAGCTGCAGGAAGGTCTCCCCGGAGCCTTCGCTGCTCCAGGCTGAGCCCCCCCAGCTCTCCCAGCCTGTCCTCCCAGCAGAGCTTTTCCAGCCCTCGGAGCATTGCTGGGGCCTCCTCTGGCCCCGCTCCAATAGTTCCCCATAAGCAGAAGGCATCAATAATGCCAATTGTCATCAATAATGTCTGAAAATTGGGATTGTAGCTGAACAAGAGGATTTAAGTGTTGGGTTATTATGTACCCAGTGGGAGAGCTGTGTGGGACAGACAGTCCCAATGAGGAAGGCTAAGGTTGGTGGAGAATCTTCATCTTTCTTTAAAACCTGCTTTTGTATGCAAAATTGAAGAAGTTCCGTGAGGATTGTGTGAGGTTATCCAACAGATGCCTGTTAAACAGCGTTGGCACAAAGTTTTAATGCACAGCTTAAACTTAAAGGTTGAATGGCTTATTTCTCGCATTGCTGTTTGGTCTGTATTCTTAATTGGAGCACTGCTTCAGAGGACAATAATATATATATGACACTCAAGCCAGAACGGCAAATAAGAGTTTCCAACTGCCAGTACCATTGTAGTCTTCATTCCATTGCACCTTTAATTTAAATATTATTCGCAAAAAATGCCACAACTAAATAAAGTCATCTAGAGGGATATATGCAGCTTAAATTAAGGCTCTAATTTAATTTAAGTCCTCGATGTCCTAATTTCCCCGCAGGGTGTCTGAATTCAGTTGCCATATCTCTGGGTGCTGCCAGGTCTTTGATACACTGGAGGGCTATGAGCACCACTACAACACGCTGCACAGGAATGTCTGCTCCTTCTGCAAGCGTTGCTTTCCGTCAGGGCGTCTCTTGGATATTCACATCTTGGAGTGGCATGACTCCCTCTTCCAGATAATGGCCGAGAAGCAAAACATGGTGAGTCGGCATGCCCAGCCCTTCGCTTATGGCTGGTGTGCTGTTAAAGAATTTCACCAGACTGTGGGTATCTCTAGGTTTGCTTTATTAACAACTCAGAGTTGGGCCATCACCTCGGTGAGTGGCAAAAACTTACAATACAGACCTTCTACATATAGTCCTTCATGGTATTATGTAACACAAAAGATCTTGGTATTTTTCCACGAAGTCTCATTTCTTAGTATTTCATCAACTTTTGAAAGTCCATCAATTTTCCAGCTTCAGCTTATTCTTATCATTCTGTTTCAGTTCCTCTTCTGAAGTTGCTGTTCATTGATGCAGTCTCGGTCATCACGATCGCTTATCTTTCTTATCATTCTTCACCTCCAATTTTCTAAGAAAAACTCAGGATGTTTTATTAACATGTGCTTAACCTATGTCTAATGTTGAATATTTTACCCCTTCTAAATTGCTTACTCTATATTAATCACTTACCTCCTATCTTTGTTATGTCTTAAACTTAATACTTAAGACTGATTATCTATTGATTTAACTCGACTGGGTTTTAAACCAGCCATGGTACGGGCTATACAGGGGACAAGTGAGCGGTTTTGGCATGGACCTATCAGTATTGTCTTATAAACACCTGCATTCTATTAATTAAATCTACTGGACTGTATCTATTTATCAACTATTCTTTCTATTATTTTCAAAGTATAATGCAATATCCTGCTAATCATTTATTTCCCTTTACACTTGTGGACTGACATCCTTAGAGGCTGACCGGTCAGGAGGGCACCCATGTCCCCAGCTGACACTGCTTGCCTTTTCCATTTATGTCATCTTTGGTTTTTTCCCTGCCTTTCAGTACAAGTGTTTGGTAGAAGGCTGTGCGGAGAAGTTCAAGAGCAGCAAGGACAGAAAGGATCACTTGGTCACCATTCACCTTTATCCTGCTGACTTTCGGTTTGATAGACCAAAGAAAGTCAAAAGGTAACTGCAGAACCGCAATAGCACAACTGGTTTTCCCCTCTAGAGGTGATGTTATGCTTTTCTGCTGTCTCACTCCCTTTCTAGAGTAAGCAAGTTTATATCCTAAGAGGCTCAAAAATTACGTTTCTTGTTGCTTGTAAGAACAGGTAAACTTGCAAGTCTTTCTGTGGCAATATTTTACTTTACCTTAATGCTGAAGCACATCTTATTTTTCTTCCCGGGTGGCTCCAGGCTCTGCTCCTTTGTGCCATCTCAAGTCTAAACGCAAAGCCCAGCATCACTCTGTATCGCTTTGTGCATGTTTCCTGCTTTGCTCTCCAACCCTTTGCAATATGCCTGTCTCCCAAAAGCACAAGTAGAGCAGAGGGAGGCTTTGTGAGCTTGGCGAATGGCTTTCTCAGCTGGCTGTTCATTTCAAGCACTGCTTTCGCTGCAGAGATTAATACAATTGGTGGTGTTTAACACATTCCTCAGAGACGTGGGTGATGGGATGGAGATAAAATTCTTGCCTGGCAGGGTGGTGTGGCCCTGGGATGGGTGCCCGAAATCACAGGGGACTGGGTTGGTTGACGCTTTCAAAGCTTGCTTGGGTAGCCTGGTGTGAACCCTCTAGTCCAACCTTCTGAGCCAGTTGAATGAGTTACGTTTTATGGACTGAAGAAAAGAACTCGCGGACAAAGCTGTGTGCTATAATGCAGCAACCCTGAATGCTTTAGAAACTCATACTATCACACAGCTTTCCAGCAGCCTTTTGGCTGCACAGCCAAATCTCTGTGCCTCTGTGCAGTAACTCACCCAAATTGGACTTGGCCTGTTTCATCATTAAATACCTTTCATTCCCTTTGCTTTGCACGTATGTGGTGGCTGCTGAGAAACAGTGTAAAATTTTCTCTCTGCAGTGGCCCCAAGCATGTGAGCCCTCCCAAGAAGCAGGGCGCCAGCGTCCCGATGGATGTGAGCATGGAGACATCAGAGCAATTCCATGTGGACTCCATGGAAACAGGGCCCAGTGAGAACATGGAAATCCCTCAGCCTGCAGCCAGCCCTGGCCCCTCAGTGCCGGAGAAACGACTCTATAAGTCCAGGTCTGTACTATTGGATTGGCCTCCACAGGCAAAAATTTCTAGGGCTGGAACAATATCATTTTAATTGCACTTTGCAGTGCCTAGTGCAGCACAACTGTCTTTCTGTGTTGGAGATAAAAGAGGTAGGATTTCCCTATATGTTTTAAAAGAGGAAAGCATAAGGAGGGACAGAGTGTGTGTACACCATGAAAGCCATGTCAGTAAGTTTCTGTTAGTCTGCCTGCCTGTGATCCCAGGGTATTGCAGAATGGTGTGCGTTTGAAGACAAGAACTCTGTCCTGAGTATTTTAATACTCATACAAGTTTTGTTCGTGCTTTGTAACACTTTCCCATCCTAGCTGACTCGGGGCCGAGCTGGTGTGTTTCACTGTAGCTGTCTCTGCTCCCATGCAGACACAGGACAAGGCACAAATAAAGCAGGTGAACATCCTGCTCTGAGTCTTAGGTTTTGCAAGGCTGGAGCAGTATTGCTGTTTTTTCTGTTTGGGTTGGTTTGGTTTTTTATTTTTACATAAATTCTTTACAAAAAGTTGAAACTGAATTGCCTAATGCTGGCTTGACTTTTGAAATCCCCCTCACTGCGCTCTAAAACTTGTATGAGACACAAGGCAGCTATCAAAAGGTCACCACCCTCTTCCCAGCACCTGGATCGGTGTCATTTTATTAATCATTTTAATGGTCTCTCAGCATAAAGGTTAATATGGTTTTGCCTGAACTATTCCAGATAGCAAAGGGCTTCTTGCCTTTTGGGTTTGCTGCATCTGTGGCACGCTGGCAGTCTGGAAGCAGCACGATGAGCCCACAGCCGTGCTGGAGTGCTGGGCGGGGAAACCCACTGCTGTCCTCAGCTCACTCTCCCTTTCACTGGCATCAGCTCTGCCTCTAAAACGAGGTGAGCATTGCTGATTCAAGGAGTTGTGGCATCTGAAAGTGCTGGCAACCCACTACAGCCAGTTGGGTCTGCTTTTGTATGCCATGGTTTGCCTGACAAAATCCTGTTCCAAAATCCTGCTGCCACGGTGGCATTTTAAACTTCGCTTCTTTGTTCAGCATAACAGCTTATAAAACCAGAAAGAAATCTTGAATTCGATGCAATGCTGCAGGTCAAAAGGACAATTTGCTACTGAAAGGCCACGCTTTTACTCCCGCTTCTGCTTTCCTGCCCTTCACAATCATGTGCTTCCACAAAACACCTCTGCAACTGCCCAATGGCATGTTATATTTTGTAACACCTTGAGAGGAGAGGCCTCCAGAACGTAGATTAAATGTGCAGAATAAATGGGAAAGCAGACCAGTATTTCACCCAACTTTTATTTACGCTTTGGTGATTTAGATGTTCTGCTCCTCCAATACCTTGCTCTTCCCTCTCGGGGATGTTGAAATGCTACACCAGGTGTAAAGCGTCCCGGTGGTCCTGCGAGTGGTGGGCTGTTAACGTGTGTTAAAGCTTATCTCCCTTTCCAGGATCCCGTCCACAATTTGCTTTGGACAAGGTGCCACCCGAGGATTTAAAGGACCAAGGAAGAAAGTCTGAAGGTTGGTGCACCAGATCTGTGTGAGATAAGGCAGTGCCAGTCGCTGCCACCCGCAAACGTTAGTGATGGTGGGCGTTAGCGTTGGCTCATGGCTGAGCAGGGATATCTGCAGTGGCTTGCGAGGGTCCCACTCCGTACGGGGGAAGCAGAAGGGTGAAAACAGGGATTGTGCGGCAGCAGTTTGTTACACATCAATACCTTGAGAGGTGCTTTGCAAAGTCCCTTGTTTATCCTTCCTGAGACGCAACATTCTCTTCTCTGATCCCCTCTGAAATCAAGCTACAAATAAATTCATCTGCCTCTGTGCTGCGAGTCTTTGTGTCTTATCACATGGCAAATGCTGTTCTGAAACTCCAGGCAGCTGCAGAGATCATGCAGGCTTTGTGAAAAGCTTGCAAGGAATTGCTGCCAGAAATGCAGCAGGGATAACACTGAGCAAAATACACTGTGTTTCCTCTTCCCACAGGAAGCCCTGTGTCCGCCCAGCCTCCTCGTCGGGCCTGGGGGCTGGGTGTCATGCTTCCCTGCTTGCACAGGGGAGAATCAAAATAAAATCCACAAATCCACAGGAAAAGCGATGTAGAACGTGGTGATTAATATAATTCTTTCCATTTAATTCTTTCATTTTCTCACAGCGTTTTTAAAACCTCACAGTGAGGACAGCCCTTGGGACAGCACACAGATGCAGGGCGAGTTGAACTCTGTCAGCTGCTCGCAGAGAGTCTGGGACTGTGACGTGGAGGTGGGAGGAAATCAGCTGCTGGAGCTGAGACTACGCAAGATTATTTTTTTGATTTCTTGCCTTTTTGGGGAAAAATAGATTCAAGAAATTCCAAGACAAAATCTGCTGACTGTACAGAAGCTGAAACCACTGACAAAAAAAGAAAACAGAAAAAAAAGTGTTGGTCCCCAGTTCTGACCTTCTCCATCTCCCTGGAGCCTGCTCTGCTCCCCGTGCTTGTGCCAAAACCCACACAAAAGGTTTGCCTGGGCCAGGGAAAGGGTTCTGGTGCCTTGCAGCTCATTTGCATAGGGAGTTAAAGTAATATGACTTCCAGCTAGGTGAATAAATAAAAGGAATTTTTACAACATTGCTTCATAGAGAATTTAAATGCTGTTTTGAAGCCCAGACAGAGTCAGATTTGCAGAATGAACCTCCCTTTGCTCCACATACCCCCAAAACCAGATTGAGATGGAGGTTATTCTTCCCCTCTGTCTTTCCCTTCCTTTTCGGTCTTGTCCTCCCAGGAGAAAAGACTGATTGGAAAAGCAGAGCCAGGCTCAGCGTGCTGCCGCCAGATCTTGGGGTCCGGTTGAAACGTGACAATTTGCCCATAAAGGGGAAAAAAAAAAACCCAGGTTGCCAGAACGGTGTTTATCCAAGAAGCTTAAGATCTGAAATTGCTTCCCCCCTCCCCCCGCCTTTCCACTCTCCAGGAGGAACAAAGGATAAAAAGGTTTTGAAAAATCCTTGCAAATGGGAGCAGGGACCGATGCTTACAGGGATGTAGGAGATTCCTCTGCGAGCTGTAAAACGCTTCGCTCTGTTTTAAAGTCGGCCGGCCTGTCCGGCTGTAACCTGTGCTCCTCAGTCTCTGGAGAGACCTGTCTCCATCAGGAAATCCCGGATGATGGAGGAAGTGAAGGGTGGAGGGAGAACAGAGGGAGCTTCAGCTGGGGAAGGGGGAGAAGGGAGACACCACCGGAGTCCGGAGCCGCGCCAGTGCACACACCATTTGCACCCACGCACACCCGGCACCCACACAGCCCTGGCCACCCGCCATCAGTCCTCATGCGCACACCCCTCTGCCCACGGGCCACCCTGCTGACCCCCATGCAGGCATCCATGTGCACAGCCCACGCACACGCCTCCCACGCATGCCTCCACACCTCTGCCCGTGTGTGTGCACCCCACGCACGCCTCCACCCCGCTCTGTGCTGAGCCGTCGCCCCAGCAGGCAGCCGCTCCCTGCAGACAGGCTATGGTTCAGACCAGAGGACAGCAGCCTCTGTCACCGCCTTCATGGCCACCGCCCTGGTGCCCCAGCCCCCTATCTGCCCTGGGATGGCTATCAGCATGGGCCAGCGACGACAAAAATCACTTTCCAACACTGGAAGCCCCTAACGAGTCTTTTTTTCCCCCCAATGGAATAACTGGAAGTTTGAAGCAGGCGCCTCATCACTGGGGACGCCTGCAGGCTTTGGCATGTGGTGGTACAAAAACACTGCAGAAGTAGCCCAATCCGTTCTCCCTTACATGTTTAGTTCCTAAGTTTCCACTTGGAAATTCCTTCCTTCCTTTTTCCCAGACTCCAGGTCTCCGAGTGTCTGCCCTCGCAATTAAAAAATAAATAAAAATTGCAATTACAGCCTCCGGGCTCATGACTTGCCCTCTTCTGGGTTACCAACTTTTTTTTTACCAACAGAGTCCATGGGCAAGTCTTTCCCAGCTGGCCCGTGGCTTTCAAAAATCCTTATTTCAAGCCAAAACTTGGAATTTCCCCTTTTTTTTTCCTTGTGGGATTCGTCATAAGCAAAATATTCCATCCCCGTGCTTGTTTGCGCAGGCAGGAGCAGGTGGAGTTGCCCAGCAGCGGCCGTCAGAAGGGCACGTGCTGGTCGGACATACACCTATGTGCGCACCAGCAAACCGCCTGGAAGCAAATGCAAGCGCAGAGCGGGACTCGGCCAGCACACCTGCGCACACCGGCATGACCCACGCGCGTGTGCAAGTGTGCACAGCGGGTGCACGCACCCAGTGTGCGCAGGCGCTTGCAGGCAAGCACATGCTTGGCCCAAGATGGAAATGAGCAGGATACATGCGTACGGTGTGTACCTGCACACGGGCATGTGCAAACGTGGGACACCCAGCATGAGCACTGCAAACACACAGAAAAGCGCCGTGCACACCTGCACACGTGTGTGCGAAGCACAGAGCCCACAGGCAGGTGCATGCACAGCAAATGTGCACAGTGTGTGTGTGCACATACAGACGTGCCGGTGCGTGCATGCAGGCTGGGCACAAGTGCAGCGTGCACACAACATGCAGGTGTGTGCAACAAAGCGTGCACGTGCAGGAACAGACAAGGAGGCAGATAGATTGCACGCACACGCAGAGCGCACAAGCCTGATCACCCCCTTCGAGCGCAGAGCACCCCAGGGCTCACAGCGATGAAGTGGGCAAGCCAGGCTGGCCCTCAGTTTATTTTACCGAAGCATGAACGCTAATGCCAAAGTCTCCGGTAAGTCTCCCCTCTCTCCCCACATTACAGTGTATAATGTGAACTGATACCTGTATTAACAAAGCTAATACGTGTTCAGAGTATAAAATTGATACAGCTAGGAAAGGGAACCTTCACAACACAGCGTTTTCGCAGCCCCATGTGAAAACGGGGTCCCCTCGGCGAAAAGGGGTGTAACATCACGGCAGGCCTGGGGGGCAGGCAGAGGTTTTGGACTCACGTGCACCTCCAAAGCTTAGCTCCGAGGGAAAGAAATGCGCTGGCAAACGGTTTGGGGACCGAAGGCCCTAAAATCACCCGTTTTCCTTCTACAGTAGGAGAGATGAAGGCGCCGATGCGATGGCGATGGGTCCCATCACACCGGACATGGCGGAGAAGCAAGGGGGAGGGTTGCCACTGACCTGGGGGAGCACTCAGCGCCGCGGCGGGAGCACGTCGTCG